TGGCTCACTCCTGCAATCCTAGCTACTTGGGAAGCTGAGATTGGGAGGGTAGAGGTTTGAGGCCAGTCCAGACAAATAGTTTGCAAGACTCCATCTCCAAAATAATGAGAGAAAAATGAACTAGAGGCGAGGCTCAAGCAGTAAAGCAACCACTTTGCAAGCTCGAAGCCCTGAGTTCAAACCCCAGTCCCACCAAAAAAAAAAAAAAAGGACTACTGAAGTGGAGTGGTGGGTGGGTACATAGGATTCATTATTAATAGTCTACTTCTATATGGTTACAATTTTTCCATAAAGGGAAGCATAAATAAAGTCAGGAAGGTTCATATAAAGAGAGATCAAATCTATTTTAAATAAGAATGGTGAAAAAGAAAAGTGAACAAAGACAATATAACAAAAGAAATGTGACTGTGGGTGAAGTAGAAGAAATAAAGAAGAAGGTGGGATAGAATAGGAGGAGGAAGAGGAAAGAGAAGGGAGAGTAGGGGGAGAATTATTTTTCTTCGACTTAGTCTGCAAAGCAACCTTGGATGATCTTAATCAAAAATACCATTCGCACTAGCTGCACTCCACAGCACTGGTAAATGTGCGGGCCGTGGGATGTTTCCCAAGGCCCTGTTACCACAGTGCATGGCATCCATCCTAGTCCGTGTCCTGTACCCCTCACCCAAAGTCACAGAACTTGGCTAGAAAACTGCTGCTCTCCTAGCTTCCAGCTGTAAGCCAGGATTTGTTTCACAGGTTGAGCAAAGACTAAACACACCTATGAAGTTTAACCACATATGAAGTAACCTGGCTACAAGAGCATCCCGTTTCTATGGCTGTAATCAACAATTCTTGACAACTGTGCAAGAAAACACGCCCGCAGATGCTCAAGGCAACATATCTGCAACAAACAGGAAACGGGCCTTCTTCAGCAACTCCTGCTTCTAATGTACCCTCTGCAGTACTAAGAGTAGACACTCTACTGGTCAATAATGAATTGGAAAGACAGTCACAAAATACTGTCCACTGAGAAAAGAAACTGGCAGACTAATATGTTCCCATTTGTATAATAAGAGCATAGTATACACTTTTCTGAAAAATCTGAATTCTGGAAAGATACTCACCAAACTTTAAAAAGTGACTGTCTATTTTATATATGGATTTTTTTGGTCCCAAAGGAATATAATCTGGTACAATCTTTATGGAGGGTAGTTTAGCAAAATCAAAATTTAAAATGTTCTTATCTTATAATCTAGCAATTTACTGCTAGGAATTTGTTCCACACAGCTAGCTACATTGAAGAAAACTACTGTATCAACAAAAATATTATTGGACCATTGTTTATCCTGGTTAAACAAAAATGTTAATCTCAGTGTCTATCACAACGGGGACTAGTTGAATAATTTAAGACATTTATAGATTCCCTTTAAGAGTATCTATAGCTGACCATAAATAGATTACATAAAAATAAGTAAGTCACAGGGTAGTATGTTTAATCTTTTTTTTTTTTCATGGTGCTAAGGTTTGAATTCAGGGCCTCCACCTTGAGCCACTCCACCACCCCTTTTTTGTGAAGGGTTTTTTCAAGACATTGTTGGCTTCTAATAGCAATTTACTGATCCCTGCCTCCTGAGTAGCTAGGATTACAGAGGGAGCCACTGTTGCCTGGCCTAGTCTATTGGTATAAAATAGATTATTTGTGTGTTCAGAATGAATTCTAGTTGAGTGCGAGCTCATGTTCCAACCAAACCAAGTACAGAGCAAGTACTCTGTGTTAACTCTCTTCTCACCCCTCTTCCTTGCCCTCCCCTCACCCCAAATGTTCTCTTCTCCCAGTCCTTAGGAACACAGGCTGAAAAGGAAAAGGTTTGAATTGCTGGATACCCCTCCTTAGGTACACTTTTAGTAAATTTCTTAAAGTGTTCTTTCAAGACAAGCTGTTTCCCTCCACACCTGCCCAGCTAATAAAGCCATAAGAAAGTCAAATACAGACTTCATGAGACATCACCTAGGAGGTTAATTTGTAACTACAAGGCAAGCAAAGGGGACCACGCACCAATTTCAAGTCCATCCTCATTTCATTACAGCGTTCTCTCATATTACAGAACACTGGAAGTACTCCACGTGTCTATCAACAAAAGACTAATTTTAAAAGATGATACAGCTTTCTATAATGTATTTTATTTTATTTTTGCTTCTTTGAGATGGAGTCTCACTATATAGCCCAGGCTGGCCTCAAAATCACTATCTTCCTGCCTCAGTCTCCCCAGTGCTTAGATTGCAGCAATGAACCACTATGCCTGCTTCCCATGTTTTAAAATCATTAAAAATGTTTTATGGGTATAGCTTTATATGCTACTGATCAACATATATAATATAATCCACACTTGTACAAAAATATTTTCTATATATTTGAATATGTATTTTATGCATGGATTATGAAAGCATGGGAAAAAATATAAACAAAAAAGTTATCCTAGTTAATTTTGGGTACTAAGGTTTTGGGTGATTTCATTATTTTTTTTTCCTTTTTGTATTTTTCCTCTACAGTGATCACATATGATTTGTATAATTTTTGCTGGCAGTAGCAGGGTTTGAACTCAGGGCTTCTTCATACCTGCTAGGCCAATTTGTATAATTTTTTAAAAATTGTAAAACACCAGAAATTCCAGTCTCTAAAAAAGAAATAGAATGACTGTTATGGGGACCTCCACAGACTGTGACATGGTACAAAGAAGATCTGAGAGAAGCTGATTTGATTTATTGCCATTCCCTCTGACCAGCAGGTTGTTCAGGGCAAGTTCCCTTCTCCTCTGTCTTCATTTGCTAATTACTGAGGTTCCTCAGATGAGGAGACTGTTAGGTGAGGCCAAGGAGGCTATGATTGGGCCCCTGGCCTCCAGGAATTTATGAGCGGTGAGGAAACAGATTATGCATATTTACACAAATGATTGCCCACTTCTGTTGTGTGAGAAGAAAGAGGGGGATGAGGGAGTATTTTCCTTGCCTTGCTCCCTCCCCAACTCAGTGTCCCTCACCTGTAAAATGAGGGTGTTCTAGGCTGACTTCCTTTCTGTGATCAGTTCTCTGGGGTGAGGCTTCTGGAAAGAAAATCAAACCCAATCTGCCATTTATCAAATGCACAGAAGGACCAAGCTAAAAAGAGACAAGCAAAGACCTCCTCCGGGGGGCAGAAAAGCTTTGGGGATGCTCCACTTCATAGCAAAATCAAGTCCAGTTCAAGTTAGGAGGAACGCTCTGTGTTCCTCTAGCTTCTGTGTTATATAACTAACTCTTAGGAAACTGCCCTGTGAAGGATTCAAGTATGCAGGGAGAAAAACCAAGGTGCAATATTAAATAGCTCTGGTTAACAAGTAACCTGATTTTTTTATTGTTAAATCAAGTTCATCTTATACCCCGGGATCTTTCCATCCCCAGTCCCTTACCTTGTTAACAACAGTGAGCCAAATAATCAGAGTACGTTTCCTATATGAGCTGTCTGAATCATAAAAACCTTTGAATCATCTACACCCACATTTAAGTTTGCACACACTAACCTTTGCTCTGGAATTTTTTTTTTGGGGTGCAGCTGGGATTTGAACCCAGAGCTTCACAAGCAACCACTTGAACCAGGTCGCCCAACCATTTTTGCTTTAATTATTTTTCAGGTAGGGTCTTTCTGCTTCTGCCCAAACCAGCTTCTAACCTCCTCTCTGCCTCAAGTAGCTGGGATTATAGGCTTGCACCATCACTGCAGGTCCATGCTTCTGAGTTTTAAGTTTCTAACTTTAAAAGACATAGGCAAATGAAGAGGTGTTACTGTGCTTCAATACTTCCTGTAAATAAATGTCTCCATTCTGATGCTGACCAATAAAATATATATCAACTGTGCAGCTTTCAAACTTACGTCTTAACACCCTTTTTTTATAACTCCAGATGTAAACAAATCATATTCTTTTACCATATGCTCATTTTATTATGAAGAGGACAAAAGTGAGAAACTGCCTTTTACAACAGATCTGCAAATTTCCCAGGGTAATTAAAATCTCCTTTTTAATGCAACCCAGGCTGCCACCAAAACGGGGCCTCACTTAGCATCACAGTGAGGGGATCGCAGCCAGTAAACATCGCCGACGCCCTGCAGAGTCCTCCACAGGGGACACTGAACTCCCTGCAGCTCCAGTTCCAGCCCATCCGCCCAACCCGGTGGCCAAGAGCACCGCCCAGCGCCACTCCCTGTCTGTTCTATTCCGAGAGCTAGCAGCCTCAGTCCCACAGACCTGGGTGGCCGCCAGTGTGCTCTCGGGATGGCCAGAACGGGCCCGGAATTCAGGGCCAGAAGGTCACCTGGTCGAATATAAGGCACGACCCAAGAAGTTCTACTTGTAAATCCACGTGACGCCCAAATGGCCTGACTTTCAGACCTAGGTCGCCCCGTCGGTGCCAGGAGTTTGAGGCCGCGGCAGACCTCAAAGAAAGGGATCTAGGGGTTTGAGGGAAGAACAAAAAGCAAGATAGGAAGTCCCCGGGGCGCAGGTTCCCACCCACTCCACCCTGCCCTGAGCCGTCAACTCGCTACTCTAGGGGCCCCGAGGGACCCACCGGGAGGAACTCCTCCGGGCGTGAGAAAAGCAACTAATGACTTAGTGTTTGCAAAGACACCAACCCGGGAAGGACAGGCCGAGTCCTCTGGGTACCCTTTAGACGCGGGCACTCCTTCCTTCTCTCTCCTTCCCCACGCCGACAGGTGGGAGTTGCAAGTGTCCCTCCAGTAAGTGGGGTAAGCTCTTGGGAGAACATCTGCCTCCCGCCAAGCGCCGCCAAGCACTTCAGCCAGTCCCGGATGTCCCAGCTGACTGCCCCTGGGTGCAGGAACCCTAATCAAAGTCACGGAGGAGAGACTGAGGCATGCACAGAGGCGGAACACCTCTCGTGCACCTGCCTCGCTTCCACCACCTGTCGAATGCCGGGAACCCAGCCCCTCGGCAGCTCGAGCCCTCCTGGGTCAAGTTTCTCACCTTGGACAGTGTGATTGCAGGAAGCCGAGGCCGCCAGCAAGACGACGCCCCCCAGTAGCCATGCCAAGCTCGGACTTCGCATCCTTCCAGCAGCCCGACACCTGGTGGGCGGGGAATCCGCCGCCACTGATTCGAAACTCAGAGCCCCACTCGCTGCACCCCGAAGAGGCCACTCTCTCCGCTGCCCCAATCCCAACTTCTGCACTCGCTTCCCGATCGTTGGATCTCCTACAGTGACACCCGAGCTCCTGGACTCACCTGCTGGAGGCCACGCCCCTGCTCCAAAACGCCCGCCCTGGCCCCGCCCCCTCCGAACTTCGGTGTCCTAGCCCCGCCCCCTCGGAACGTTCGCGCGCAAGCCCCGCCCCCAGCCACCTGGCCCAGCGCTCCCGCCCAGCAGCTGCAGATACGCTAGCCTGGGTCCCCACTACGCCGGGAGTTGTCCAGAGGGCGGAGTTGAGCAGGCGAGGTGGCCACATTGGAAAGCAAATGGCAGGAAAGCCTGGACCGCAGGTTCTTCTGGGCCTGGACGATGTCTACAACTACCTGTAACCTTTAATTACTCCTAGAAAACCTGTGTTTTTAATCTCCCTCACCATTTCTGAACGTGAAAGCCCTTAATCCAAGCCTACTGCCACTGTCGTCGGTAATCGATGAGGGTGGGGAGAGCTCTTCTCGGTGTAATGGTCACTTCGAGACTTGAGAACTCGTTTTTGATCTGCAGACACAAGACTGAATGCCTGTAGACTCCAACGAAAGCTATGGGAAGAAGTCAGGGACCTGGAGTTGGATTTTCCCTCTGTTGTTACCCAGAACAGTCTCCTGGAACAAACCTCTTCACACTTTCCTCTTCTGTGAGCTGGGGCGTGGGAAAACACATGGAACCGGTACTGCAAGTGCAAAGTGCCAACATTCCAGAGCATTCTCTTGTTTAATTCCAACAACCCACGCAACTACTTTGACTATTCTGCCCACTTTACACACCAAGAAATTGAGCTTAGAAAGTTTACATTAATTCAGCAGCGTTACACAGCTAATACAATTGGTAAATGTCCACCACTTGTTTCTGTGATGGGCTTTTTCCAGATAGGGTCTCGCTAACTATTTGCCCCCGCCAGCTTGGAACCACAATCCTCCTCATCTCTGCCTCCGGAGTAGCTAGGATTACAGGCATGAGCAATCTGTGCCCGGCTTGTCCACCACTTTTAAATTCCAGTCTTTGCCACTTTCTTTCTCTAATCACTGCTGCATCAGGTACTTCCATCAGGATCTCTTCTGCATTGGGATATTGTCCAAAGAAATTAAATAACACAGAAATGTGGTTTTTCTCTTATATAAGGGCCTTCATCATACCAGTAAGGTCTTACTCTTCATTTACTTTTTAGACGGTTAAAATAAGGGCTGGGCATGGTGGCACATGCTTGTAATCCAAATACTCAGGAAGCTTAAGCAGGAGGATGGCAAGTTCCAGGCCAGATCCTATTTCAAAATTAAATAAAAAATAAAAATAAAAGCTACAATAAAATAAGGTGTATTGTTATTCACTTAAACTATTGTTCTAGAAGGACAGAGGAGCTACCGCAAGGGTTACAGTGCAGAATAACTCCAGAGAGCAGAAGTAGGTGGAGCCACAGAAGGAGGCTGGTTTCAGCTCAAAGTGAAAAGAGCTGGTCTTAGTCCTGGGGCTGCCCTCAGATGCTGAGGGCCACAACGGTGCAGGGCTCACAGCAAAAGTCCAGGATGTTGGCCTCTGATGGAGAGGAATTCCATCCCAGGGTCAGAGGTCATACCGAAGGAGTCCAGACAGCTTCTTGGGGGGCTTGAGCCCTGACAGTCAGTGATTCTCCGTGAAAGACTAAAGTATGGTCCACTGCCATTGACAACTATTACTAGCAAATGCCCACCATTCCTAGGCCTGTGAGTGATTAGGGCGGAGCTAAATCTGATAAAAGGGCTCTGTCTTCTGTGTCACTCTTACTGCATTCACTGGGGGCCAACTCACTGTACTAATGTGAACTCAAAGAAGACAAAATTGTATACAATGTCACATTGGCCAGTCAACTTCCCTATAAATTGTTTCTTCTGGATACCCATGAATGGTTAGTATTCTGCTCTTCCCTCTGTCCCCACAGAGGGACTCACATAAGCAAAGAAAGAGAAAGAAATGGCTCTGAATAGGCCATGAGAATGCAATGCTTACTGTCTAGATAACAGGAATTTGTTTTTTGAATAACTCCCAATACACACAGACAAGAGGGGCCAGGGAAAGCTCTCCAGTGGATGAGACAACTCTTTTAAGAGACATCTTTGAGCACTCTCCCGTGCCTGTGTCTCAAGTGAGTTCTCTTAGGAGTGTTTTGATTCTGGCTTTTCTTCTTACTAACACCTGTGTGACATTGGGTAAATTATTACCCTCTCTCTACTATAAAAATGGGATATTTTGTCTAGTTTAAAGGCATCTGAGGATAAAATGGACTCTGTCTGATGTGAAGTAAAACAAAAATTTTGTTTTTCTTTCCTCTAAGGAGTCTTTGTCACACCCCACTCATCCCCCACTGCTCAAGTTGACCCCTAGAAGCAGCACAAGAGTCCTCCTTGTCCTGAACTAAGGACAGTTCTATGGGGATCAGGCCCCTCCTGAGCTAAAAGTCCGTAAGTGTTTCTGAGCTCAGCGCCTAGCATATAGTAAGCACCCAAGAAGTGGGAACTGCCAGGCACCGGTGGTACACGCTGATAATCCTAGCTATTCAGGAGGCAGAGATTAGGAGGATCACAGTTTGAAACCAGACCCAAGCAAAGAGTTCAGGAGACTCTATCTCAAAAAACCCATCATGAAAATGGGCTGGTGGAATGGCTTAAGCAGTAGGAACTGCTTTCTAGCAAGAGTGAGGTCCTGAGTTCAAACCCAAGGGCCACCAAAAAAGAAAAGGGGGAGGGGACCCTGCTGTACAGTGCCCGCCTTCAATGTGCAATCTTCCTCAATCCAGAGACTCATGCATCAGGTGACAGCTGCTTTTAAGATTTCACTGACTTTTTTGTAGGAATATGCTTTGAATTGTCAAAATTTCCAAAGAAAGGATTTCAGTAAACAATGCTATGAGTTAATAATCTCAAGAATGTGGTTCCATGGGCTGGGGATGTGGGTTAGTGATAAAGCACTTACCTAGCATGTGCAAGGACTGTGGTTGAGCCCTAGCACAACCGGGAAAAAAAAAAAAAGTAGTTTCTTCCAGCAGCCCAATCAAATGAACTACACTCAAGGAAGTAAATTTGCAGATGTGTTTCTGTAACTTTGGGACCCTTGGTATTTGTTTGTTAGCTGTTAATGACTCGTTTGCCCTGAGGGCTCAGGGAGTTGTGTGGTCTGGTGGAGCATTGACCACAGGCAGTTCCAGACTGCCTGGCTTCCAGACACTGGGAACTTTGTGCAGTTTCTCATTCCCTCTAATTTGAAGGAGGAACTTAGACACTGAGAGAAAAGTCACTTCATTCATATGAATTCTACACTCCTTTGTTAAACATATCAAACTCTTCCTGGAGAAACAGTCCCTGAAATCTTGGGTCCTGGTCAAATATAGTTAGAGGAAAAGCAATACTCATTAATCACTCACTCAGTACACACTCTGGAGAAGGTTAGCAATGACTTCCACTGTAGGATTTCCTACAGTCAATCAGTCACTTCTCAGTTTTATGTCACCTAACCTAGCTGAAGAATTCGACACAACTGATAACCCAGGCTCATTCTTCCAATTCTCCTCCTACCTCACTGGCAACTCAGAGGTTGATTCTTTGCTGGTTCCTGCTGGCCTTCCTGACCCGCTACATTACAGAGCGCCCCTGGGTTAGTCCTGGGATTCCTTCCCAAAACATATATTCATTCCTTTGGTGACCTCATCTAGTCCCATGGCTTTAAATACCACCTGCATGCTGACAACACCCAAACTTATAATGCTACCCCAGATTTTTCCACTGCAGACATATAACACCCATTTAGCTACTCAGCACCTCCCCTAGGGTACGTCTGCAGGCCTGTCAAGCCTAAGTCCCCCTCCCTTCCCTTTCCTGTCACAGTTTTCCCCATCTACTCTTCCAGTTCCTCAGATCAAAAACCTTGGCATTCCTCCTGACTTGTCTGTGTTCCATATCTGATCTATCAGCATTTCTACCTTGAAATTATATCCAAAATACCATCTGGCCCAAGTTATTATTACCTTGTGCATACATTACTATAATAGCCTGGTAGCTTGGCTCCCTCCTTTTGCCCGTGACCCCTTATATCCATCAGTCTCCTCTCAACACAGCAGTTAGAGTAAACCTGTTGAAATGTCCATCAGGTCAAGTTTATACCATTGCTTGAAATTCTAAAGTGTTCCCACTTCCCTCTGAGTAAAAACCAAAGTCTATCACCTATATACATATGCTGTCTCTCCCCACCCTACACACACACACAAAACCTCCTTGACCTCATCTCCCCTTATTCTTTGCCCCATTTTACTTAGGCCAGGTACACCTCCCGCCATTCTCTGGTACTTGCTATCCTTTGCTTAGAATGATTTTTTCCTCAGATACACCTCAACTCCTCTCTCTAAGGAGTTGGTTTTCTTAGCCCATTGGATCTGGAGGGGTCCTTAGAAGCCACTGGGGGACTCTCTTACCCAGCATCTCTAAGCTTGTCTGCAGCAGAGCTGAGAGTATGATGGCAGCCGAAGATTGAACTGCTAATGGTGGTCTCTCATCTGTCCAAAGGCTTTCTAGATCCAAAGAAAACATCTCTAAGAAGAATCATTTTAGGCATCTGCATAGGTTGCCTTTGGGTTTTGTTTGGTTTGGTTTTTTAACTTGAGATTTTTTTTTTTCTGCTATTCAAATAAAATGGACAAAATATTTTTAAAGGAAAAAGTTGTGAAGACTTTTTATGTTATGGGCTGGGACCGCAGCTGGGGGATGCTCACAGAAACGAGTGGAGACAGTTACTCACGACGTCGTGGGAGACACAGCTGCAATCCCAATCTCACCTTTCTCAGAAAGCAGAATTGGCACCCACATCTCATGAAGAGTCAGGTGAGAACATCTGCACCAGTGACTACTTAATGAAATAAGTACATGATGCAGTGAGGGGCAGAGGGCAGTTATTATGCCATCTGCTGACTGCAA